GTATTTTAAAATATATATTCTGTATATATAATATTGAATACAAAAGATGAAGCAGAGATGCAGTGAAATGATGTGCAACGCTCTGTGGATTGAACATTGTGAAATTTAAATCCTGTTTCTTTGTACATTAAATAATGTGTAAAGTCTGTCTTCTCATGGGCAAAGTCATCAGGCTTTGGGTGTAAAGGATTACACAGAGTTATGTAATCGGGATACAAAAAAGGTAACTATAATCTGTAGAAATAAAAAGTAATCAGTTACATTTAGTAAAAATGGGGATTATTAGCAGATTTACATTTTTTAAAATACTTTTAAAAATAAAGAACAATATCCTACCATGCAAATGGTAGCACAACACTTGGTGAAACCACAGTTAATCTCACAGTTGCCAATTCATCATCATGGCCTCCAGTAAAAAACAACATTATTTTGTCTTCAAAGCAGAAAAGGAAACAACATCAGAAAACAGTTTCACCTTCCAGCTGTGAAAATTACCTCATTTTCCTGTTGTACACTGAAGCAAAAGTCACCTTGTGGATATTTTGTTTCTCATATTTGGTATTGAGGTCAGAAGTGAAAGAATCACTTTAATATTTAATATTTTAATATTGTGATACGTGGATTACATTACTAAAAAAAATTTTATGTTACTTTTTTGGCTTTTATTGATAGTTACAGCTGAAGACAGACAGGGGATGACACGCAGCAAAGGGCCGCAGGTCGGATTTGAATCCGTGCCGCTGCAATAACTCCATGCATGGGTCACCAGCTCTACCGACTGAGCTAACCGGGCACCCACGTTACTGACATTTTTAACAGGTGATTAGTAATTCTATCAGACTACATTTTTAACCCTCCCAACCTTGAAAATCATGAAAAACATTTTGTAAAATTCTCAAACCCTGATTATTCCAAGTGAAACCTTAGTATTTGCAGCTGATCCAGAATACTACAGATAGTCTTCTGGCTGCAAAACATCACATCTCCTAATTGTTCTGGCTTCTTTCCACTCGATTTCAGTGTGTTTGAAGTGCTGCAGGCTCCTGGTTACACATTATATAACCTCCAAACCTATCAGGTTTTCTGTTTTAGGGACCTTGTTGTGACCTCTGAACTGCTGAATAGCCTTTACCCTCTCCAACTGCACCCACTGTTGACTCTTTCAGCTTCCTGCAAACAACTTGCTTGTATTTTGTAGGTTTTAAGACCTCTTGAGTTGTCTTTGTGTTTCAGTGTCCCCTGTTGTTTTATATGTTTGTTTATATACCATCTTAATGCGCTTGTGTTACAGAAATCAATCTTGAGTGCTACAAATACAAACTGGCATTATGAGGCAAAGTATTGGATTGTTCAGCACGTTGATGAACTGGATTGTCGAGTTGTTGCTGTTAAAGCTGTCAAATCATGGTCTATTATCAATCAGAACATTGAAATATGGAGCAATGCATATTTTTTTAAATAACCACAGCAGCAATTCTTTGCGGTTGAACCATTTTGGATTTAACATGTGATTACAGTAATTGAGGGTATTTCAGTGCATGTTTAAGGTTCACGATAATTAAACCGTAAATCAGATACCGAAAGAATATCCTCCAAATGTCCTGTAACACATTGTGAATGAAGCTGCCTTCAGGTTTTGGGCCTTGCCAAATATATTTGGCTCTGTTTATCTTACGTGTTTATCTCTTCACTGGGGATGTTTGTTGGCTCGGTGCTTCT